TATAATTTTGTATAAAACAATACTTGTGTAAGACAAACTTGAAGTTTGGCATCTAGCTGTTAACATGGTCACAGTCAAATGGTAAGTAACATTTTATTTGCTACAGAACGGAGATGACTCCAGAAAACCCACACTGGGTTGGGGCTTGGTGGATTGGCTTCCTGGCAGGAGGAGCAGCTGCTTTACTGGTAGCTTTCCCCATCCTTGGCTACCCACAACAACTGCCAGGTACTACTCATACCCACTGCTTCATCACTCCTACTCCGGCTTTAGTATCCTAAACGGAAACTCTACATCTCGCGCTGTATTATGACATGGTTTGGGAAGGCAAAAATATCAATCATAGCCTAATATGACTCGTTCTGGTTCCACGCAGGCTCCCAGGAGCATGTGGCGGGGCGGGTGTCTGAGGCCCACCAGCTGAAAGATGGAAGCCACAATACAGCCTCTGACCCTCAGTTTGGAAAATCAGTCAAAGACATGCCAAGGTAGGGGTCTAATTAAAGCAGGGGTCTGATTTGGATACAGCAGACTTTTTTGGCGTAATCTTCAAATCATGTGTGGGAACCTGACAGCTTTTAGCTTTTTATCCTGCATTAGAAAATGTTTTGGTTTCAGAAAAGATGGCCACATGACACAATGAAGACTCTCAGCATAAATAATGATTGCTATTGGTAGATGTTATCTCACTTCCTAGTGTGACTATATGATTTCTGATCAATAAAAGTGTTACATCTATTGTCCCAAAGGGACTTAAAAGTCTGAAGTTATAAAGTTTAGAGTAATAATTTTTAGCTAAGCATTGTTTTTGGTGTTTGGGATTCTTGTCCTCTTATACTACCTGGTTTCGGAAATGTTTTGGCTGCCAGACAGACAGACTTACAGACCATTTGAATCTAGAATAAATGCTGGTATGCAGAGGAATTCATGGTCAATTCAATTAAAAAAGGCTGCAGACATTATGAGTACAAAACAACCCCAAATCCTGAAATCCCAACCAGGCTTGACAATCGGCACAAAGTGTTTGTATTAATATGATGTTTGGTTTTGTCCAAACATGGCCACTTCCCAAACCTCATGTTCTCCTGCCATTTTGAGCACTATTTTAAAATGCAAGCTTGTTTGGTCTTTTTCTAAATGTCATGAACTTTAACATCTCACATTCTAACTGGGGCTGATAGTTTAAGATGGAACCATATATTTTCTGAGCATTGCAATCCCTGAACTGGTGAATTGTTGGTGACCCATTCATTCCTGTGGAGTCTGCAGGCTTTCAAATTCAAATCTAAAAATACTTTATAGATCCCACAGAAAAATTAAATAGATAAAAATAAAATAAGTAGACTTTCTTAAAGTAATTTTTTCCACTTGTGACTAATCTGTCTTTGGAAATTGCATTTTCGCCTACATATTATTTTATAAGCCCATTGCTGTATGTTGTATGTAAGCATGTATGTTTTAACTTCTTTTGATCATGCTGATGTTACTCTCCCTCTGTTGCCAGGTTACGCTTTGTTTTTCTTCCCATGGCTTTTTTTCCCCTCATTTATGATATGTTTAATACATAACAGTTTTGAAATGTTATGCATTTTTGTGCATTTAAGGTTCGAAACACTCCCAGCACCTTCTAAAAACAAGATCTCTTTTGTTTAGTCCTGATGCATAAACCCCTGAAATAAGAGATTGATAGTGACAGGTTCCTTTTACTGCAGGTGGAAACTGTTTGAATTATTACAGTTTGAAAGATGTACTTCACACTCTAATATTTTCTCAAGTAAATGACAAATCTGTGTGAAAGTTTATCAGTCCTACATATAAACTCCAAACATTTATGTAAGAATGAGTAGGTTCTTATCAAAATGTTGCAACTAGCTGAAACATAGCAGTCATTAGAGCAGAGCGTCGCAGGTGAGTGACACTTCTGACTCTTTAGGTTACAACAGTGCTTACTATAAGCCCGTAGAATGACGTCATCTCTGACCGAGTCTCTTTCGGGATTTGCGAGGATTACCCAAAACATTACGTAACGTGATTATTTATCTTTAGGTCCAGTGCAGTGATTATCTGTCTACACCCTGGGGAGATTACTGCGGACTGTTTTAATTAAAAAAAATAAAGCTCAGGCTTATTTACCCACAAAGAGAATACACATACTGACGATCTTCTCTAACTTGTTTCAGATCTGTGCTGCTTCTCTTGAAGAACCCTACTTTCCTCTTCCTGTGTTTAGCGGGAGCCACTGAGGCCACGCTGATCGCAGGCATGTCCACCTTTGGACCAAAGTTCTTGGAGTCCCAGTTCAGTCTCAGTGCATCTGAAGCTGCCACCTTGTTCGGTAGGTGACCGAGCAAGGAGGGTTGCAGACAGGACTGAACATCTATTTAATCTTTTTCTACAGGGTCATGCAGAGGGAAAAAAATGCTGAACATTTAACATATAGACAATTTATGTGGTAATGTCTCTTAAAATATTACCAAGTTTTAAGAGACAACTTGGTAATGTAATGTACAATGCAACTATTTCAAAGTGCTAGCTTTTTCCCATGTATTATTGTTGTTGGAATTAATGCAATAAAGCAAAACAGCAATATCCTGGTTGCACAAGTGAACCTTCTGAGACTACCATTTAATGTTGACCCAGCATTCAGTCTTCCTCAGTACTGGAGTTGCACAATATCAGGAAAATATGTAATTACAATACCGTGATCGAAAACTGTGACGATAATGTACAATCAACAAACATTTTCCTGGCACCTTTTTCTGTTGCCATTGCACAAAATCCAGCACTCCCTGTGAGCTTCATCCTACCCAATATTACATCCAAGCAGCACTTTGCAGCTGGTGACAAAAACTTTGGAGATTGGCGGAGAGGACTCTTTCCATTTTTTCCGAGATGTTTAAACAAGATGCCTGCATCTTGTTTATTACAGTCATGAGTAGCATCAACATCTAGTGAAGGTTTTGCACAGCCTGGTTGATTGGCTTCACCGCAGTAAATGGAAACATGCCTGATTTGCATTTCCTCTTTTGAAGCATTTTAAAAGAGTGCTCAAAATTTCCAGAGCAGTTGGATGGAAACATAGCTAATCATGTTTTTTGACTGTCAGAGGAATCCAGAGTAGAAACCTCGCATGCACAGGGAGAACATCCAATCTCCGTACAGTTTGCACATATGGAGCAAACTGTATGGAAGGACCCAAGACATTCTTGCTGCAAGGCAACAATGCAACTGCAACAAGGCAAATGTAGCCAGAGTTCATAACAACATCTCACAGAAGAGATATCCTCACAGGGGAACCTTTATGAGGTACAATCAAAATGTTGGATGCTCACAGGCATTTACCAAAGAAAACTGAAAGCAATAGGTGCTTCAATAAAGTATCAGTTTGAAGGTGTGCATAACCATGCAATCGGGTTATTGCATTTTTTTTTTATTTTTTCCTTCTAACACATTTGCTTGTTTAAAAGCTGGATTTTTATAGGATAAATGCCAGTTAATATGCGAAAAAGATGTGGAAAGAGTTTTAAAATATGTGCCACTATCTCTCTTTCTCTCTCTTTTTCTCTCTCTCTCTCTCTCTCTCTTTTTTTTTTTGTCTCTCAGCCAGTGAGAAACAGGAATCAGATTTCAGATTGTATTTCTGTGCACTGTTCTTACCAAAAAGTGGACTTGATGCCTTCTTTCAGTTTTGTTTCTTTCTTTTACTTCGTCCTTTGTCTCTGTTCCCGGTCCTGGTTTCACTGTACACTCTAAGGAGACTCTGTTCATTGTCTTCTTCTCTTTCTTTGTCTACATCTTCTCATCTGAACTATCACTTTCTCCCTGTCCAACCCTAACTAGGGCAAAAGCTAACTATATACTGTAATACTCATAATGTTTCATATCTTTGATAAAACCTTTAAAGGACCAGTCAAAATTGTCAGCACTCACTACTGACCATTAATATTTCCTATAACTTTAAAATAAGTTGATGCCACAGCTTACTGTGTTTTTTTTTATTCAAAAGTGAATTTACCTCTAAGCCGAACTATGTTTTTTTTTATTTATTTTTTTTTTATTTCTGTCTATGTTTTTTTTCTGTGCCTCTTAAGGATACATGGTGGTACCAGCAGGGGGCGGTGGTACTTTTACAGGCGGCTACATCGTGAAGAGGCTGAACTTGCGTTGCAGAGGCATCATACGCTTCTGCATGATGTGTGCTCTGGTCAGTCTGCTCGCCATCTTCATCTTCCTCGTCCACTGCCCCAACGTGCCCATGGCTGGGGTCACGGCCCCTTATCAGTTGGGGCTGATGGGGCAGGACCAACTGGACCACTACAAACATCTGTATGACAAACCCAAGAAACCGCGACTCAGAAACAGGTGGGGATTATTCTCTTTACATCTGGTAGGTAAAAAGCAACAAGACTGGAATTTTGATTTGTTCCAGGTGTCCATATTGGGCTGAAATCAGTTCTATATGTCCTTCAGCTTGGCTCTAGCTGGAAGTTTAGCATCCTTACACCTGTCCTCTGTTATCACTGTTTTATGTAATTACAAGATGGTTTTCGTAAGCTACCATCTCCATTATTCTGAATAATCATACATTCTAAATTAATTTCATTATTTTCATTTCATGTATTTCATTTCATTCATTACATTAATAAATCCCTGAAATGTTAATGACCTATAGTGTGCTATGTTGTAATGAAGTACTTTTTAGGGTTAGGGTCACCTTCTTTTCTTAAATTTTGAGAAATATACATAAATGTACTGTATGAATTTGTTGTCCTCTGGAAGAAAATGTTAAATCAGTCAAAATCCTAATTGGCAGACCAATTAACCAAAAACAGTGAAGTTTGCATCTAACAATTAATAACATATTAAAGCTACATAAATATGTTCATCAGTTGATCTGTTGTAACAGCAGCTCTCCATATGCCTTATATAAAAGTTTAATCTGACTTTATTGTGTTTCAGTTTAAGAGGAATAATGCATTAAGCTTTGAGAACAGAGCCCACCATGTATGAAAGAACAACCCGATAAGAAGTAACCCAAGGAGTTATTGTTTCATTAATTTCAAAGGAAAGCAAGGTCACAGCCAGTAAAGCAGCAAAGATGTCTGTGTTGTGGTGCAATCAAAAGGAATAAGTGAGGAGGAGTCAGAGTTTGTTGCATTTAAAGCAAAGGCTGTAGAACAATGAAATGGAGAAGTAACTATAAGTTTAAAATGACATTTCCGGAGTCTTCTAGAGAAAGACTGTTTATTTTTATCAAGCTTATTTGAGTGAGTCTGACATTATATATAAAAATAACAAAACAAGTAAATCAGGTAAAACAATGTACTTCATTAAAGAAGCTAAAGGATGTAGCCAGCATTAGATACATAGGGTTATTATTTATATCTTTTTCAGACCCACATACAGGAAATCCTTTTAATTCAGTGGCATGTTGACCTGTGACATTTATTTACTATGGAGTAATTTCATTGATAGTTGGTTTTTACTTGTGTTTAAGCAAAATATGTCGAAGTAGTGCTGCTCCTATTTGAGCAGAAGTACAGTAAGTGTGTACATGAAATGTCAATACTGATACATGATGTTACGCTAATATCAGAGTGTGTTCAGAGAATCCAGTATGCATCATTTTAAGATGCTACGCCTCATTTATTCTCCTCTTAACCACTAGCCAATGGCTAAAAATACATCACATAACAAAGTGGTGCTAGCCAAATTGAAACAGACCAAATTCCTTCTTTGGGCCCCTGCTTCCACCTGTTTCTCACTGACTTTCTCTTCTTGTCTTTCTTCCTTTGCTTCTCTCTGCAGCTCTTCTCTGGACATGAACCTCACAGTGAGTTGTAATGCAGCTTGTAACTGTGCCAGAGAAGTGTACAACCCAGTGTGTGGGGCGGACGGGGTGATGTATTACTCACCGTGCCACGCCGGCTGCACCTCCATCAACCACACACAACCGTCCACAGGCAGACAGGTACAGCACACACTGCTTGTTTTACTTCAGTAAGACTGGAAGAACATGACCCGGGCGATAGCTGAGGCAGTTCAGAATGATCTGCAGGTTCCTGAATGTCTATTGTGTTTAGACATTCAGATGTGGCAGAGTTAATTAGAAGACTAAGAAGTTGTAACTTTCCAATGTGTGCAAGAGAGCTCGTCAGCAGCTATACCTGGGGAAAAACGGCAATGTTCATTTTTTAAGTTATATGTTTTGCTTTGACTTTCTAACGTCAGAGAAATTGTACTCCACAGTGACATATTTCTGACAAATTTACCCATAACCCATTTTTGAACAAGGAACATGGTCAATAAGGAATCTGCATATTTATTAAAGACATGTAGCAATCCTTCCAAGAGCAAGAGAGCTCTTTGAAACAGAACACAAAGCTCTGCCACAGAATCTACATATGGGGAAATGCAAATGTTAATTTATTTATTTAAATTTAGTTAAATGTGAAGTCAGATCAACACATTTAACTTCACATTTTCATAGAACTTCTCAGTTGTCATATTTAGTTAGCAAAATATTACTCCACAGTTACTTGTTTCTAACTAAATTGCCCATAGCCTAATTTTGAGAAACACAGGAACAATAAGGAACCTGATTTTTATTATTTTTTATAAAAGACATGTAGAAAAAACCTTATTGAAAAAAAATAAATAAATTTTCAAAATTCAAACGTTAAAAAAAAAAGCTCAGTGATGAACACTATACCTGTGTCGGTGTTTCAGGTGTACTCTGGGTGTGGCTGTGTGGTGGGGAACGTTTCGTGGGGTGAGGAGGGCTTCGCTCTGACAGGGAAGTGCAGCAGCACCTGCCACCACATGCCAGTCTTCCTCTCCTTGCTCTTCGTCATCATCTGTTTCACCTTTCTCTGTAGCATCCCAGCTCTCACTGCCACTCTCAGGTATGTGTCACGACAACAGAAGGATGGTTTTGTTAAGCAGATGCTAAATTGAGTCGAAATGGATTACTTGATATATAGCACAGCCAATAAATACAAATGTAGATCATCAGAGTGAAAATGAGATAAAAAGCAAATGTAGTTTGCCATAATTCTGACACTAGATGGCAGCAAAGAGCTTGCAGTGTAAATCCTGGTGTGTGTAGTAAATGCATCAGGCGGCATTAGAGAAAACTAAAGGGCTCTGTGTGGTTAAGCCGAACTGCTGAAATCAATTTTCATTGTTGCAGGTACATGTTGAAAATTACGTCATTTTGTCACCTGCCCTCGCTTGTCAAACCTCCCCTGGGTAACTTGTAACAGTCCCCTCTCTAAACACATGGTAAAACATTTACAGGAGCTTGACTCCTGTGAAACCCCTCCCGCTGCAGTAAACCCCTTTGTGCACCGTGAAGGGTCTGTGCAAAAGCGAACATCCGAAAATGATGTGACCATCATGAGAGCAGCAGTTCAGCCATGCTGAGCCCTTAAGAAAACGAGTTAGGAGTAAACTCAAGGGAATAGTTTACAAGTGTTTAAGCCTAAAAGTCACAACCTTGGATTTGAGTTTCCAAAAAGCAGAATTTTACTCAGTCAGCCATGGACTAGACTTTGAGTTGAAGTCTGTCTTTATATCTGTCCAACCCTGTTCTGTACAGGTGTGTACCAGATAGTCAGAGATCGTTTGCTCTTGGCATCCAGTGGATATTGGTGCGCACACTTGGTAGGCCCAAGTCTTTCTCTGATTATGCTTTAAGTCTCAAAATTGCAACCAAAACAACTGTAATTCTTCCTTCCTCCTGTTCCACTGCTTTCCATACAGGGAGTATTCCAGGGCCGATTGCATTTGGCTCAGTGATTGATATTTCCTGCTTATTGTGGCAAGACCAGTGCGGTGATCAAGGCTCCTGCTACATCTATCACAACTCAGCCATGAGTCAGTACACACTTGTTGCTGGAATCATCTTCAAGGTAATATTCCTAGTCAGACACCATTTCACTTTGAAGATGATAAAAATGAAAGCAAGTGGCACAGAACAAAAAATAGTTCCTCACTATGGTCCTGGAGGGATTCCTCCCATTGTATAATCGATTTACATTTCCAGCACAATTTGTCTGTGCTGATCATCAGCCATCATAGTTCAGGTGAGCTTCTACATGAGAGGACAGCAGCTGCAGAGTCTCTGTGTCAAATTGTGTTCACACTTTTGAGGAGATGAGGACAGCTCAGTTTTGACAAGTGAATGTTTTTTTGTTTTTTTTTTTTTTTTCAAAAGGAATCTTGCTTGTATTGATTACAATGAAATATAGATTATTTAGGCAAACTTTTAATAAAAAAAATAATAATAATTTTAAGGAAGATAATGATAGACATTACAGTGGACCTGTGCCTTTTTGTGGGTGAAATTCTGAGACGTAATCCTACTCAATAAACCATTGGCTAGCGTTCGCAAACCAGCCAATCCAGAAGCCCCATTCGTTTTCCTTGGCACTCATTGGATGCAAACCCAAGAGCAGAGATAAGGAAGACTGTGGATGTTAGCTTCTGCAGTACCACAAGATGGCTTCTTCTGCATGTATTAATGCAAATTAAGGAATGTTTGGTGTGTAACTCCCTCTGATTAAGAAGGTCCACTTCAATTTGTCATGATTTGGGAGAAAAAGAAAGTGGTGCTCTTAGATAGCACCCAGGAGATCTATCTCTCAAATGCTGCAGGTGTGTTTTTTGTCGTGTGTGTGATATTGTTTTGCTGAAAGATGGTTATTAACACTTGTATTCGGTTTCAGCTTTTGGGTACCATCTTTTTCCTCATAGCCAGCGTTCTCTACCAGCCACCTCCGGAGTCTCCTCAAACCAGCTGCGAGAGCACGGACCAGGGAACGGAGCACGCAAGCGACCTGCCAATCAAAGACCTGCCAGAAGATGGCGTCATTATCAACCTGCATGCCAGGTTATGACATCTTAGACCCTCCATTCCAAATACAGAGTCTCTGTTTGTGTGATAAAAAAAAAAAATACCCAGGATGCCTTCACGCACAAATGCACATACACCCAGACAGGGTGTGTAGCACTTCTAACATGCTGCTCTTCTAGAATGAAATCGTGCTTTGACTGCATGTGTTTCTGACATGTATGTTTGACTCAGCAAAAGCCTCACAACGTTATTTCTCTTAACGTTTCATCTCTAAAAATAACTCAAATCTGATCAGCTAAATAACTTCAAGTCCAGCTGCGATGGTGTGTGTATCATTTTGACTATGTCCAGCTTGACACCATCTTTCAAAGATCGATTAGACTCTTCACAGAAACATTTTGCGGTTTTGAAAGAATTAAAAAAAAAAGGAATCTCCTATTTGTCTGTTGTTTTACAGTGACTGACTGGAAGATACAATCGGTCTTCTGAGAACAGATAAAGCCATGTTTAAGATGCTGTAAGAAACCTCAAGGCCAGTGAAAATGTAGCCAAATATTCTTCTTATCACAAGAAGTAAAGCAGAGTCCTGAACGACCTTTACATCAGAGGAAGTATTGAGCCACTATTATGCTTTCAACATTTTAATGCAAAATTCATATTCTTACCATTTTCCTAGTTAGCTAACGCAAAATGTCCCTTTTTGAAGGCTGCTAGACAGTTTAACAAACAAACAAAAAAAAAATTAGTTCGTAGTGTCTGATCTTGGAAATGTCTCTAGAAACTGCGCACATCTGGATATTGACAACTGATTCCAGTCTTCCTGGCAGATTCTGCCACACTCTGATTGAGTTGGTCGGTAACATAAGATTCTGTTGATGATCTGTTATGTTTAACTCTGAACTTTTAATGGACTCTTACTACTCAGGAGCATTCTTGGACATGCCTTGTCTCCAGCTCTGTCTTGAGTGTGGAATCTGTTGAGGCCTCGACACAAAGGAGATGACATCACTCCCTCTCCATTCATCTCCTATGGCGCTTAGGGCACCATTAACTTGCCTTTCTCCTGGCAAGTTAATGGCAAAATTTGCTCATGGGAATTTTTGAGCTTATATGTGTGAACCTGCACACATGAGCTTGTGACATGACACAAAAAAGATAATAATGTTCAACTTTTCTTGCAGTCATCGCTACTGTGTCCCATGTGTTGGGTTTTGCCACGAGTGGCGGAAACTTTTGTCTTTCGCTGTTGTTTGTCACTCCTCGTGTGTTGAACCATTACACTACAGTGTCTCTTGTCCCAGCGGTTTATATTCGTAGTCTGAGGTAATTTAGCTTCAAGAATCTTTACAAATGATTATGACAATTCTGCCCTCTGCTATGAACTCTGTGTCCCAAAGGAACCCCAGAGCAAACGTCTGCCATCACCTTGCTTCATTCTTGGGATGATAACATCAGGGGATATTTGTTGGTTAGGATCCATCAGAAGCAATTGATGTGTTGTTGAGGCAAATCAAGGATCTCAGCTTTCCATGCTCTTAGGGTGCCTTCAGGGAGAACAGTAAATTTCAAGGATGTGAAAATTCAACTAGATTGTGGATGGTCTCGTTAAGAGAGACCATCCACAATATATGAAAAGGTATTAAAAACACAGTTTGCTCCCCGTTATGCATGATGGAGTCTGAGTGTTTTCTAAAGGTATTGGTCATGCATAAAACATTTGAATCAAGGGAGCCTGGGTAGTGGAGCATAAAAACAGCTGTGGCAGCGCTGCCATGTTGGTCTCATTCAAACTCCAACCTCATCACAATGGTAGTGTTACCACATTATCTTGTAGCACTTAGCTTAATGCTAACAGCACAGTTCTACAGAGTCTCTGCTGTTGTGAAGTGATGCTGTTGGAGTGTGCTCTCCAAGAAGTAGTTCTTGGAGAGCACAGCCGGGTCTTCCTCCAGTGTGAAGGTTTCTGGAAATCTCCCAACAGGCTGCCATGTGCCTTTTAATTCAGTGTGGCTTCAGTCAAACGTTTGTATCAGTCATTCTCTTAAAAGAAATTCGAGTTGTGTAGTTGTGAGCGTTTTTCTTTGTCAGTCTTTGCACTTTCGCTTTTGGAAATATTGGAAGAGATTTTAGTGGTTTTTCAATGCGATGACTTCCTTTTTTTGTCCATGTCTGGCTTCGAGTTTCTTTGCTTAAGTTAATCTGTGAAATCTGCTCAAGAGGTCTGTCTCTCGATAGCAAATGTATGTCGATGTGCACGTCGATTATCACCACAGATGAATAGCACAAACGCATTTTCACCTTGAGAAGCACATGAATACCTTTGAAAGCTACTGTACAGGAGATGTTGGATTCAAAGGTAATGATATTTTGGCTTCTGCTGATGCAGAATTATGACGCCTGTCATTCATCAATGACATAAAAGTGAACATGACTGTTTGGACTGCAGATGCTTTGAAAACAATCGGGTTCGTATGCGATATGGTTCCACATAGGGAAGTGGCACAAGTATAATTTTTTGTGAGGTAAAAATATTTGAACTTTCCAGTTAAGACTGCCTTCAAAAAGTCGGATGAAAGTCGCATCTTTGCAAAACAAGCGGATTCGATCACATCTGCCTGCTGTGTTAACATATCCTACGTTGCTCTATTTACCAGTTGACAGTGCTCTTTAGTGCAATCATGTTTTAAAAAGATTGTGCAATGGTGTGTTGAGAAATACCAACAGCAAAAAGATGGATTTAAACAAGAAATTCAACAAAATACTAATCAAACTTCACCAGAAATTCCCAAACATCAAATTGATATTTTGTAACAATAGCTTATCGTGATAAGGTAATAAATGTTAGAATATATGTGATTTAACAATGAACAGCATGTCTCAAAACATGTATGAATAGCCTTGCCAAGGCTGGATGGAAATACCTAAATATGCCTACGGTTTATTCTTCAGGCTACAAATATTTGGAATCGCCTGCAGCCTGACTATCTTTGCATAATTCTATGAATTTAAGCGCTCTGTATGTGTTTATGTTAGATATGGGACGTTAATACCACACCTCTGGATGAAAGGTGGTAACTTTCTGTGATTAAGTTTATTTGACAATGTCCCACTAGATGGCACTCTTTACCCTATAGTGGTTCTTTGATGGATCTGAATACAGTGGCAGATGAATGTCTGGGCTGAAGAGAATGAACCCAAAATCTAACAGGCATATTAACATGCTGGTCGATGTTATTTAAAATAAAATGAAAACATGCATATATTTTTTAAAAACTGTCATCTACAGCTGATTCCTTTCAGTAAACTGCATTTATTTAGATATAGGAACTAAAAGGTTATGGGAAAAATTTACATATTTTTTAATCTATAGCCTTATCTTTTTGGTTCTGTAGCAAGATGAAGATTTTTCTAGGCAACAAATTAAATAAAACTAAAATATTTTCTGAACCCAAATGAGTAAAAATTCAGATTCCTGTGACTTTCTAAATAAATGTGTTTAGCCAAACATAAGACAATGTCTGATAATAGAACATCTTCACAATAATTCAGCTTGAACATTCAGCATGTTAAAGTTGCAAGCGATTTTTTAAAAGTTATCTGTAGCAAACTGCAAACATTTGCATTCATGTACCTGAACCCAAATGGAATGATGTGACTTTGCTTCAGTGTTTGGCTGTCTAGTTATTTGATATGACACAGCCTCACTCATTTAAAAACTCAAAAAGATCACTCTTCATCAATAGGTTAAGTGAAACCAAAGTCGATCAAATATAATACCCAAAAGTAGGCAGGTAGACACATGAAAATCCAGTTTGAGTAATCCCAAGGTATCCATCTTTTAGTTCATAAAGGAAATTGTTTTGCATGGTGACTGAATGATGTGTTAGACCTGAAAAAGATTATTCACATTGGTAACATACCGTAAATTCCACAGTGCATTTTACATTTGGACCTAATTATTTCAGTACTGTAACTCTCCGATCGTGCCAAAGCAGCTTTGCAAATTAACTGTTGTACTTTATTTTGTATCAACATATTTATGCAAATAATTTATTCATGATATCTTGCACTTAAATTTTTAATCAGCGGTGTAATTTTAAAAGTACTGAACGTCTTTGCTGTCATTCTCCTGTTTGTGATGTCAGATCCAACCCACTGTGCTGATCTGTATCGTTATGATGTTCGATCCTCATGTTATGAGTGACCTTCACACATTTCAACTGATGGCAAACAATTATTTTCACCTACATCTGTAAATCATTTTATCTGTGCTTTTCTCTGTCTCCTAGCTCAGAATAACAAATGTATAAAACCCTTTTGTTAAACTGCATATTAATTTGGTTTTGTGGAGTATGTTATTAATGGAAGCTGTGAATTTAATTTTTTTTATTGAATGACTCAAAAATGTGAACTGTTTTTATAATTACAAAATTTGAACAGCACGACATTGCGTCTGACATTTTTTTTCTGTCAGTTTGATTATTTGTTCATATTTTTTGTGCCACGATCACTTACCTTCTGAAGACTGGTGTGAATGTTAGTGACTAAAGCAATACCGCTCTAAAACAACTGCCTTTTTTAGTAATGCAAACAAAGAATATATTTTAAAACGTATTAATAAACACAATGAAAAAACTTCTTAGCAGTAGGGCGAAACGTATCATTCAAGATCTTGTTTATCTTCGAACTTGAGTCAGTCAGGGCCAGAAAAGTGAATCGCACTCCTGGTGTTGCTTTGCAAACACCAGTTGGTAGTGTGTGAAGCTTAATTGTGCTTATTTCAGCTAAGCTACGTTTCTTTCAATATTTTTCACATGCTCTGCAGAGAAGTCTGGTAGAGTTGGGAGGTACGTTCCACAGAAAATCTGTAAATACTGCACATATTACTACTAATATTACAATACAAAATATGCAGGAGATCAATACTAAATATGCTAGAGTTAGTGTCGATGTAAGTCAGGAAAAAAAGTTACTTCATGACTTTTACTTTACTAAAAAGAAGTCATGAAAAGGTTTGAAGATAACAAAATGGATGTTCGGGATTGGCCCAGTCAAAGCCCAGAACACAGTCTCATAGGGAATATGTGGCTGGGCTACACAATCCTCATCTAACCTGACAGAGTCTGAATATTTTAGCAGAAAGTCTGCAGTCCAGATGCACACCCTGATTGAGAACAATCAACACAGACTTGCTGTTGTGACTGCAGCCAAAGGTCCATCTTCTGAATGCTGATTGGCAGTGATGTTAGTATTTACACAAGCACTTATTTTATGATTCATTGTTTTATTTCATTGTCATTATTTAGTACAAATCAGTTTTCACTTTGACAATAAAGAGTTTTTTTGTACTTCTTTTATTTATTTATTTTTTTAAGCCATATTTGGTTTATCTGGATTGATTTGGGAAAGCAATGAAAAGGCTAAAACATCAAGAGATAAAGGTAAATGCTTGTTATGTTCCAATGATTAATTTTGGTCCAGCTGGATAAAGACTGATGGCAATAAGAATATGATTTTACTTGATGAAAAATATTGACAGGACAAAATAACTAAGAAAAAATACTCTAAAGAATCCCTGTGACATGCTTGCTTGAGATCTTTTATTTCTCCTGTAGGAAACAGTCACAGTCCTGCTGTTATTTTGACCACCAGGTGGAAGTAAATAAGTTATTTAGAAAGTGTTCAATGTTAAGTACAGACTCAGATCAACCCTGATTTTTCTGTGTCGTAACATCAGAGGAAACATACAAATATTTTTTAATGGAATTATGTAATTACTCCTTTGCTATCATTGATATGAAGTGACTAATACAGAAAAACTTTTAACAAACCAACTAATTTAGCCTTGTGACCAGACTCTGAGCAACGTTTTCATTCTTAAGAATGACAAAGACTAAGAATGATGTCTTAAAGGTTTTCTCTAAGACATCACAGACACAAACTGGCCATCAGCTGTGTCTCTGTTTCAACCGCTTCTCTCTGCTGTGCACCTGTGATGTGGAAACTCAGTGCTCACTGATGACACACCGCTCATAACAATATCGAATGCCAGTAGAAAATGTCGCCTTAAGATTGATTTATGCCTCCATGTATGGCGGATCCAGAGATGTACACTCCTGACCACGACGCATGTTGTTTTTTCAGTTTTTACTTCCATGGCTCCGTCAGTTCACATTCATGCACGCCGTGTCCTGTGCCTTATCTGAGCGTCTGCTGTTTATCAGAGCAGGAGATGGATTCAGTTTCTTTTGTTTTTGTTTTCCTTGTTTCAAATACAGACATGCAGGTTTCTTCCACTGGCTCAATAGAAATAAATATATTTTTGTACAAGTAAACAAGGAAGACCACCCTAAGAGTAAAAAAAAAAGAAAACCAGGATATTTCCCATGTTTTCTAATTTACATTGACCCTTAATGTCTCATGTTTCAACACATACATTTGAAACCAAATGTTTTTATAACTTTTGTGTGCCTGAATATAAAGGCACATAAAACTTTTTTTTTTTTTTCTCAATAGCTGCATTTCCTTTTCGAAAAATAAATTTGCTCACTGGAAGCAACAAGAAAAAAAATCTTGTTTTTTAATAATCAGACCAAACTTAGAATTAATTTAATTATTTCTATTTGCTAAATGGCACAGTAATAAGAGAACGAAGAATGTACTACTCTGCAAGAGGAAGACATTCCTCCACAAGAAGCATAAAGAAGCCAGAATGCATATTTTTCTTCTGTCTGATGAAACTAAAGTGCAACTGTTTGGTCATAAGGATCAATGTTACATTTGGATAAAAAAAATCAGGGAAGCATGCTACCCTGAGAATACCATCCCGACTGTGAATTCTGCTCTCAATGTGAACGTCTTACCTCGTACTTTCAAGTTGCATTACTAATTTTGATGTGCTATTTCAGTGCAATGGCAATAAAAGTTTTCTATTTATAAAGACTTCTTGAACTGATCTGAAATGGCGTCTGCAAACGATCCCAACTGTGAATTATGGTTTCTGTGAAATGCTGTCAAAAAGTATTTTGCCTGCTTACTGATTGCTATTGTTTTTTTGTTGTTTTTTTTTAGCTCAAAAAGTAATTTTCAAATGATTTTTCATTTAGTCAAGAGTAAACAGCTATGCTAACCAAACAGACCTCATTTGAAATAATAATTATCCGCTCGGTTTAGAGTAAATTAAAAAAATGACATGCTGCTGTTTAGCTGCCGGTGGTAGACTGACCTGTTCTGCAGCAACAGTGAAGACTCTAGAAAATTCATTTACAGAGTCTTATGCTTTTCGAACTTGTTTTGCATGCTGATGGTAGTATATCATGTCTGGTTGGAGTCAGAAAGTAAACAAGTCACTCTGTCACTGCAGTGTTGATAAAACCTTCTAGGAAGCTTTAGTTCTCAGACATCAGGCAGCAACTCTAACGCGATAGAGGCTGTGTGTGTGCGCGTGCGTGCATGCGTGTGTGTGTGTGTGTGTGAGTACTTGTTGAGGTATGTTGTAAAGACTTACTCTTAGGAAACAACCAACATTGTGAGAACATTTGAAGTTATGAGGCCATTTTCCATGTCCACACAAAATAAAAACATAATTTATATGACTATGCAAGTTAGTTTTAGAGGATTGGTATGAATTAAGT